AAAGTTGGCAGTTCAAATCCACCAACCACTCCTTGGAAACCCTATGGGGCAGTTCTACTCTGTCCTATAGGGTCGCTATGAGTCAGAATCAACTCGACAGCAATGGGTTTGGTTTTGGTTTTGTTCTACCCTCTAGTTCAGTGAGTAGTGTCCGGGGCCTTAAGAGATTGTGAGGGGCCATCCAAGATACAACTGGTCTCTATTTGCCTGGAGCAACAGAGGAAGGAGACTCAGGAATGAGAGAAGGAATTGGACTGCAGGTCTGACTGCCTCTGTGAACTACTGCCTCCTCTGCCATAAGACCAGAAGAACTGGATGGTGCCTGACTCTCATTACTGAACGTTTTGATCAAGGACTCCATAGCTGCGTCTTGATCAAAAGGGAGACAAATGTGGAACAGAAGTTAAAATTTATTACAGAATCCAGAAATACTGGAACCACTGAGGCTGGAGAACCCCTGAATCTGTTGTGCTGAGAATATTTATGAACACTGAATGGAAAGTATCCCCTGAAATCCTTTTCAAAACAACAGTTTAGCTAAATTAGTAAAGAAATGTTCACATTGAGCACTGAACTTTTTTTTTAAATTTTATTTTAGATGAAGGTTTACAAAACAAATAGTTCCTCATAAAACAGTCAGTGCACATATTCTTTTATGACATTGGTTAACAACCGCACGACATGTCAACACTCTCCCTTCTCGACCCTGAAGGACTTTTTTTGGGTGAAAATATACCTAGACAAACTTACACCATTTCAAAAGTTTCTACACGTACAATTCAAGGACATCAATCACATTCTTTCAATTGTGCTGCTATTCTCACTATCCTTTTCCAAATTGTTCCATCACCATTATCTTCAACTCACCACCCCCTAGACTTCCCATCAAACCTTTTAAGTTGCTGTTATCAATTTGATCTCACAATTTTTTTTTTTTTAATACCTTAGATGAGGGTTTGCAGAATAGTTTCTCATTAAACAGTTAGTACACATATTGCCCTGTGACAATGGAAAACAACCCCATGACATGTCAACAATGTCCCTTCTCAACCTTGGGTTCTCTATCACCAGCTTTCCTGTCCCCTCCTGCCTTCTAGTCCTTGTCTCTGGACTGCTGTGCCTCATTAGTCCCGTTTTGTTTTACGAGGCTGTCCAATAACCAGCTGAACGGTGAACTTCGGGAGTGACTTCACCACTGAGCTAAAAGGGTGTATGGGGGCCATACTCTTGAGGTTTCTCCAGTCTGTCAGGACAGTAAATCTGGTCTTTTTTGTGTGAGTTAGAATTTTGTTCTACATCCTTTTCCAGCTCTGTCCAGGACCCTCTATTGTGATTCCAGTCAGAGCAGTCACTGGTGGTAGCCGGGTACCATCTAGCTGTACTGGACTCAATCTGGTGGAGGCCGTGGTAATTGTGGTCCATTAGTCCTTTGGACTAATCTTTTCCTTGTGTCTTGTTCTCTTCATTCTCCCTTGCTCCCGAAGGGTTGAGACCAGTGGAGTATGTTAGATGGCTGCTCACAGGCTTTTAAGACCCCAGACGCTACTCACGAAGGTACAGTGCAGAACATTGTCTTTATAAACTGTTATGCCAATTGAGCTAGATGTTCCCTGAGACCATGGTCCCCACAGCCCTCTGCCCAGCAATTCAGTCCCTCAGGGAGTTTGGA